GTATAATTTTAATATTTATATATATAAGCATTCATTTTACGTTGAGATGTATAATTAATTATTCTGCAAGTGTGTCAATAGGAAATATTATTTTTTATTTAAATATTGGACCCAATGACAAAATACTCAACACCCGTCAAGTTTAGATATTATGTGGTTAACCAATAATCGGTTTATGTGGTTTAGTCAGTAGCGTTTATGTTATATTATTATCTTAAACACACTAACGTTATAACACAAACCGCTAAAATATAGGAAATGGTATTTGTTCATCAATATTATACTTTTGGCGAATAATTATTAATATTTTATTATACATTAATCTTCGCATTTATTGGATATACCGCGTTCATATGTTTTATTTCCTTGAAACAACAATATATTGTAATATTAATTCATTGAAAATATTATAATATATTGAACTAAAATTGAGTCGATCAAGTGGAAAAGTATTAATAAAATATTATGAGGGGTTTTCTGGATTTTGCTCCCAAAAAGTACCTTTGTGCTACGATCTCTGATCTATATACTTGTTCATGACAAAAACAGTTCATTAGTAGTTTGGAATATGCCGTTACTCTTAAACACATTATTGTAAAAACATTACCCCTCAGCTCCTCATCGACACTAATATTATATTAATTTCGTAACATGTATTGTAGCCGACAAAATATAGCGTATGCTCGTTGTCAAATGTGTCGTTTATGTATAAAAAAAACACAGTATCGGATATCTTCATTTAGGCGTATATTATGAGACTTCATACAATCCATACACTTCCTGTCGTCGCATACTAAAAACCAGACAATAATCCTACAGGTTGATTTTTTTTCCAGGGCTTCAGATTACAAGTTTAACCACATATTTCAATTATTACGGTCGATTGGATGTTAAAGTTGTCTACAGGAAAACAAATATACAATAATGTATAGTATAAATATCTACATAGATATATATTTTTACTTACTACAAAAAAACCTTACTCTAAAAAAAAATAAAGAAATAAAATTACTTACTTAACAAATAAATGATTATGAAATAATAAAATCGTCTCGATTGCACATCGTTATCGCAATAAATATACGGCCGACTTTTTTTTTTTTGCAGTAATTGTTTTTAAGTATAATAATAATGTTACAAACGTTACGCTTTTCAAACCGTTAGCAATTTTTAACCACACAAATTGCAATTTTTTTTTTCGAGTGTATTTGTTTGTGTTTTAACTAATCGTTAAACGCACACGTCTAGTTTTAAACAGTTTGATTTATTACTATAAAAACTAAACAGCTTAACTAAACATTTTAAGGATCTTCCAAGACAGCAATTTATTGTGTAAAATAACTATTATGTCGACCACAATTAGGTACAAATTTAATGTTAATAATGATTTTACATCATTTGAGAGCTATTCTCTATAAAATAATATTGTTACATTGGTGTAATCCGGATTTTTAAATTTCTCATCACTAGTAAAATCACAAATATTTCATATAGTTATAAAAAATAATTTATTAAATTAAAACGGGTTTGTGGGGAATACATTATTTTCTAGTGAGTAACGTTTTGCGGACTGATGATTCTAACTCTTGGGTTTTTTTTCTAAAAAAAAAATGCTTAGAAAATATGTCAATGTATGGTAATAAATAATTATTATTATATTAAAGAAAATGACTATACAAAGAATGTTGTTTTTTTTAAATTATATTTATCCGTAGTTTTTTTATAATTCTTTTTCGTCGTTTTTACCAAACAAAACGACGTTTACTTTGAAAGTTTAATGTTTTTAAGTTTAAATACCTACATTGACGGTTAGAAAATTTGTTTTATACATAACAACCATAGTTTTTGAATAAATTATAATTTTAATAAACGTACCTATTTGTAAAATATTTTCATGGTCATTTTGTACTTTAATTTTATACATAGCTGTCTAATGTCAGTAAAAAATATAACCATATAAATTTTAGTGTTTACTCGATTGAGATTTTTAAATAATAACATATTATTTTATTTTGCTTGTGTGATGGTAGAAACATAGGTAGGTATATCATATTGTGACCTTCTGAGATTGCCAAGAATATAGTTTAAAATATCAATAAAATTTACCCTTATAATAATATGTTGAAACATCTACAAATTAAACAAATAACAAAATAATGGCCCTCATTAAAGTTTTAACCATTACCCATATACATTTAAAGGCATATTATTTATGTAGACCACGTCAGGTGTATGTAAGGTACATAAACTCATCGGAGTTTGTGAAAAATAGTTTCACAAACAAAATTTTATTGCGTGTACCTACGACGATAGATGTGACAATATATTCAGTAATACTAGTTTAGCGAATATATCCTTTAATATTTTATGTATTGCATATTATAAATATTTAATTTGAATCAATATACATAATATGCAGTATACACATACGATTTTTATAACGCTGTGAGTAGTTTCATAAAATATGTGCAAATGCATCGTTATTAGCAACCTTATTTTTATTACTTTTTTTATTTATTTATTTAGCGCAACATAAAATCCAACACTTATTATAAATTTAATGCAACTGGAAAAAAAAACTCACTGTGTACCATTACCTTTATATACACAATAAACGGGTTTATAAGTGCATACGTTTTCTTTAAAATAAAACAAATATGTATAGTTTTAATACTTATAAATGTTTGATTTGATGACAAAGAAATGAGGGTATAGGTATATCCAAAATCGTCTTCGCCCAATAAATTAGACAATATATTCTTATTTTTTTTACGGAACTGAAATTGGACCAACTAAAATCTCACAATTTTGTCACAGCAAAGCATTTTTACCGCCAAAATGGCTTTTACTTATAGATAAAATTGTATACCATAAAAAATAATACACTAAAGCTCACACTTACTTGACCTAACCGCTGTTTTAATTCCTCTTGGTATACTATTAAAACATATTTTATGGTAAAATATACATGATTATACATTTTTTTTTTTTTAATGTAATATAAAAAAATTAAAAAACGTTTTAGGAAAAAATGTTTAAAGACAAATAACTCAGGTAGGTATATATAAGTAACCCAGGTTTTATGTGGTTTCTAAAATAAGTGTGAAAATACATTTCAATTGTAACGTTTTACATTCATTTTTTTTTGTTTTTACTAATTTGGATTGTACTAAAGCGTGTTACTTTAGTTGCCATTCTCAGTCAAACTTAGGCAGGGCAACAAGGAAGGGGAGGGCAACGGGTTTCACAAGACGTTTTTTTTTGTAAATTTGTACCTTTGATAACTGCGGTGTCGATTCTCACCCGTGAAAACAATAAATATGTTAACGGTTTCTGTGTGTTATAGTGATCGACGAATTTATGACCGTTTCTATACTTATATCTTTTAACGGTCCTTGAAGGAACAATATTATTTTACTTGAAATTCCAGATTAGGCGCCTAACCTAAGCTTGTTGTACTGTGCATCCCTTAAAAATATAATTATATACAAGTTAAGTGCGTAGGTATAAAACTCAAGTAGGGGTTCTATCCTAAAAATATTGTCATAGTAAATAAATTATTTATTTTCTCTAGAAAATATCATTGAAAATATATCGTTCCCGTGTGGGGAGTATTTTTTTTATAATATATAAATTATGTAACATGTGCTGGCAAACAATATTATGTTATTTTTCCTCGGTAACCTTATTCTCATACATGAATATTAAATAATGTGATTGTTTTACTCTACAATGAAAAAAATATAATAAGAGTTGATGGTGTTCACACGTTGTTTTTTTGGTTTGATTAAAACTGTAGAAAATACATTTTTAATTTTTAATTACTACTAAAACGACGCGTATAAAATACAATTATAAATTTCCTACTTATATAAAACGCATTTCGTTTGTTTATTTTCAATGCTATAATAATATTAATATTCTGTACTTTAATTGCATGTAAATGTGTATCTAATGCAAGTTTCATACAAATCGACAATGTATCATTAATGATTTTGGATTATAAAAAAAATTGATTATGTTAAATTTAAAGGATAGTGCGATTGTTTATTTGTTTGTTTATTTTTATTATGTAGTGTTTAAAACTTACTCAGTTACATTCATTTCGGTCGAGTAAAGTATTCTGGACATCTAGTCTGCAGTTATGGTTGGTATTTACCAATTTTTATACATATAGAGGTTTGTTTTGGCACCCTTCAACCTCTTCATATTAATTCTAATAGTCTGCTTACTTACATTAATAATTATTAGATTTAAAAACTCCGTGTTACCTCTGAATATTTAGGTCTCAACCTAATTTTTTTAAGAAATAAATTGTTTTTTTCTTGAAAAACAACACTATTCAAGTATGTTTTATATTGATGTATTGAAATACGATCGAATGTATACTATTTAAAACTATGAATAAATTAAAAATCAGGTTTAATATATTTGATATCTCCGGTATAACTATTTTTCATATTTTGTATCTTATACATTTTGTTTATCCAAAAGTACCAATAAGATATATATATATATATATATATATATATCGTATGCGGCAAGTTGTCGTATGTGGACAATGTACAGCCATTGGCGGCGAAAAACCTTAAAAAGGTCATGAAGAAGATAAAATAGATTTTTTTCATTAATTTTTTTTTTTTAATTACAGAAAATCATACATAGGTTTTACTAAATATCGTATAATCGTATATTATAATGTCGTGTGCATGGGGCAATACACAAAACAAGTAGGTATTCGACGTACTCTGAACGGAACGACAAACGGGGCCGCTGCCGGCTAGTAGGGGACGGCATTTTGGTAACCAATGGATTGGGAAAAGAGCAGGTGGTTGTCGTCGTCGTCGGTCGCGCCGTCCGCCAGGCAGCGCTCGGCTCGTCGCCCGAGGGAAGAAAGGAAGGAACCAGTCCGCATAGAGCAGCCGCGTTTCTGTGGCGAGCAGTTCCGTCGTCGTACGCGCGCATCATCTACTTTTTTTTAAACGCAAATTTATCTTGAATTTTTTACAATCTCGTACGTTTTTTTTTTTAGTCAATTAAAATTACATAATATTGTATATTTTATTAGCGAAAAAATAAAGTGTACGGTCCGCGGTTTTCTACGATACAAAACGTTATCCTGTGGCCGAAACCCTCTATCCCCCCACCACCCCGGCGACGGTCATATACCAGCGGCGTACGAATACATCGGCATCGGTATGTTCGTCATGGCGGTCCGACCGACGACCATCGCCACCAGTTTCGAATAAACCGACGTGCAGGCTGCGTATCGTGTGGTCGTCGAAATCGTCTGTAGAATTTTTTTTATCATTATAATTATTACTACCGCGATTTACGGTATTCAACGTTACGATAATTTAATATAATAATTTTACATCGCATCCGTCTCCCCTCGGTGTTGTTCGTTTTTAATTAATTTTGATTTTTCGCGTTTTTTTTAACCGCGCGTGCCTGGCGCGCTGCTGCGCGTTTGTGAGTTTTGTGCGTGTGTTACTATTTTGTGTTTTTGGTGTGCCCGCGTTTGTGACGTGACAAAGTGCTGCGTGCGAGCCCGGTACGACCATGCGCTCCATCGAGTTCGGATAAGTCTCGGTGCGGGTTTTCGTGTTTCGGTCCGGAATTTTTGTTCTGTGTGCGTTTGCTAAAAATAGTCCAAAAATATTGCTGTTGGTCGTCGTTGACCGCGATGACCGGGAGGACACAACCGTGCAGGACCCGGACCATGGCCGTTTTTCTGTTGTTGGCGTGTCTGGCGCTGGTGCTGGGAGCCGACGGAGCTTCAGGTAAGACGACGAAAATCAAAACCTATTTCAAAAAAGAGAGTGCCGTCTGACGTATGCCTTGGTATACAGGTATCCGGTCGCCCGAAGACACACACGACAGGGTGGTTTTGCGATCGACCGTCTGACGCGGTTGCATATTTTCTTTTGTCAGGGTTAGGTCATTTTCGGTTGGTCGGCGAAATTTGCCTTAGAACGGTCAAAAACATACCCTTAAACATGGGAATCGTGTAAAATTTCAAACAAATACATCCTAAGCGTGTTTGAAACGTATACTAAAACATTCATAACGTATCACGTTTGAAGTATACGCTTGAATAATGTTCAACGTTTGTGAGGAATACCTGAAATATATATCCTTATACGTTTAACACATTTATGAAACGTTTGAAGCATATCTATCCTTCTTGGTGGTCCAAGCGACTTCCTCAAACGTTTCAAATGTGTTCTTAAACGTTTGGAATAGTTTGGAAACATTGTAAAAAGTTGTAATATTCTCAAAAGTCGCGATTGTTTTCACATTAGCTTAGGCAGTAGAGTTACACAACGGTTCGCCGGGACTTTTGACCCCGGGAGATTTGAACGCTGGTGTATAAGATTCCGCGATTCGGGTGTATTGTTTGTGTTCATTTTCAGTTTGTTTTTTATTCATCGATATCGGAGAGAAATTTGAACGCAAACAATTATTATTATTTCCCGTACTATCAAAATTTTAATGGACACCGCTCGTTGTGCGTGCGGGTAATATACTATTATCGTCGTTATGAAAAAAAAAATTATTGCAGATAAACCGTTTTTGAAACAACGGCCGCCAAAACGTGTGTGGCAGCGTCTTAATCAACAAGTCCCCGCGGTCGGTGTGACATCCCCCTCGGCTTACTCCCGTTTCTTGTTCGGCACAATGCTGTGTGTATGGCAGCAGCCGTCGATCCGGCAGACGTGTGCACCTTTATAATCACAGCTGGACCACAATCTGTGTACAACAATAATATAATATATATATATTATATAATAACGAAGACGGTCCAAGCGTTCCTAACGTTTCTGGCCGCGAAAATGTGATTTTTTTCTCTAAAATTACACATTTAGTAATTAAACGGTCGACTAGTGATCTTGTGACTATACCGTGACCGTGTTTTTAATAAACTAGACGAGACGACTATTTATTATTATTATTATATTATCTATATTATTATATTCAAAAAAACGGTTCGTCGGTCGTGCCGCGTTCAATTACCGCGCAATTATCGTTGACATTGGACAACAGCTATTGCTACGGTTAACTTGTCAAAATCGTTCAATACCCAAATCGATGATACACCGACCGGCATTCAAGTCGTTAGTTCACTATAAATATCACCCATTAAGTCTCATCAGGTTTGCCTTTCCTTTTGAATAAACATCATCATCGGGGGAATCGTTAAACGTTGACATTTTGGAACGAACCGTTAGGTCAAGTTAGGCTGGACATCGGACAGGAGGAGACTCGACACTACATTTTCAAATTTTAATCTTAGTTTAAAAGTTTGAGTCGGATTTTTGTTTGTGACATTTGTGCAACGCCCAAAAGCATGTTCATGATCAAACGTCATTCTCAGTAGGATTCCATATGAAAAAAAAAGATCTCAAGCTATTAACTCTGTAAACAACTCAGAAATAGTACATATTCAAAAAAAAATATGAGCTATCAAGAGTAAATATGATATAAAAATAATCTCGACTTCACTTGACTTGTTACGATGTTGTGAGTAAGATTAAACAAACTAATCGTCACTAATTAATTGTAATCGGAGTTAGACGAGTTAAAATGTGTAAACGTTTATTAGGGTTATGTTCGATTAAACTTAACATTAATGTTTGACCATTAATTCAAAATTATCTCGCCTGATATCGATTAAGAAAGTGTATAATCTTTTTAATTGAGTAAATAACTGAAAAATAATACACAATAAAGCGATATTGTTCATTTGGAGTTATTACAAATGAAAAGTAAAACCAATCTAATAAATATGTACCTATATATATTTATATATATATGTATTAATAATCGCTAGTACTCTTAAAACTAATATACAAAATCGCTCACTCGCTAAACTCGTGAGGTTAAGGAGCGCCTTTTTTTTTACAGTAGGTATATAAAAAATGTTTAATTTTTTACACCTCGGGAACAGGTATATTTCTGGCCATTGACCATTTCGCCGTAGCTCGGGCATCGACTCCGGTGGGGTTGTTTTTTTTCTCTCTAATATAATCTATATTTTGTTTTAGCCGTTTGTGTTGGCGGCCGTTCGGGCGGCGGGCCCGCATTGAAAATTTCGCGGTCTGCCGGTTGTAACGGTTTTTTCACCGCTCCCCCCCTTTTTGGGCGCCGCGCACTTTGAGCAACCCTGTACACAGTTCGGCAGGGGCCGGCTGGGTCGTCGTCACGGACCAAAACCCTCGCACGCATATAATATACACTCACAAAAACAACCCCGAACATCTGCGCTCCTGGCCGAGCATCTCCTCGAACCTCTCCCCCTTTTCCCGGTCGTCCGGTATGCACACCCCGCTTACAGTGTGCATGTGTGCAGCTGTCGCGGGTATTACAATATTATACATGTATGTATCCGTATATATAATATATAATATTGTATAGGAAAATTTCGGGCGGACGGCCCAACACGCGTTTGCCAAACCGCTCGGGCCCAAACAAGTGGTATCCCGCCGGGAAAAAAACAAAGGTAAAAAAAATACACTCGAGAAATCAGTGCCTGAAAAAAAAAATTAAGGAGTAAACGCGAAGCCACCTAACCCGGCCGGCTTAGACAATACAAAACCCATTACATATTATATTATCATACAATATTATTATTATACATCATAGGCCACAGCGGCGCGGCGGGGCCGTGATGGTGCGGTTTTATTAATTTGTTGTATCAAACACAAGCCGAGACGACGATTATCAAACATCATTTCGGATGTTTATTATATTATATGAACACATAGGACACACACGATATATATTATTATGAAACGTCATCGGACACTTTGGTCGTACAAAACGGTCGTGTGTTGGGCGACGGTTTTTTTAATGTTGAAAAAAATAACAATAATAAAAATAAATGTCCCTACATTGTAAATTACATTGTCTTGTTTGTGCCTTCGTTGTACTCGCTTTATATATATATATATGTATATATAACAGCTATGATTTCCGCCATCGTTTTTTTAAATATTATAATATGTTGAATAATAAAATCATTGTTGCCTAGGCATAAAATGAATAGATTTGCTAGACAACATCGTGGTGGTCGGGTATAAATATCAAGTCCTAAAATGTGCATGCATGGGGTTGTTTCACTTAATGTATAAGAATAAAATCCTTTTTAAATTGCTTTGTGGCTAACGAGCTGATGATAATAGTATATACATTTTTTTAAAATTGAATTTCCTGCGAAAATTGCGATTAAAAAATATATATTTATTATCGTACAATAACAAGCACTTTGAAAACATCAATATATTCTTTTTTGCTGTACGAGTTAATTGCCTTTTCGGAAAACGTGCACTTATAAATAATATTATTTAATCTCCAGAGGAGGAAGTCGGTGCATAATGGGTTTTTGTGGCTTATGGGATGAGACATGATATGAGTATACAAAAAAATTATGTTAAAGGATGACGTCTCCCGTGTCTCATATCCTTTTCCGCCACCGGATTTTGGGTTTTTTAAGAAACGATTATATTTTTTATTTACATTTGGAAATTATGAATTTTTCTCGGTTTAGTGTGTCTGTCGTGAGAAAAAAAAGGCTTGGGCCAAGCACGTGTTATATTATATTGTTGGAAATGTAAAAATCAAGTGTCGTCTGCGCCAGATGTACACGGGGCACAGGTACACCATGGCTGTTAGGGTTTCGGTCGACATAATATTATACACACGTGTATAATATGTATTATGGTGTAAATCTTTCGGTCGTCCGCCATGTTGCCGTCTACAATAAACGTGTATTGTTGCATTATTGTGTGGTGGTTTCAATACCTACCTGTGGATGTTGCTGATGGCCGAGTCCGCCGAAGAAATATTAAAAAAAAACAAAACTAGTAGTTATACCAATAGTAGTTTATTATTGGTATGTAGGTGTTTTAAAACGGAAATAATTCTCAATTAAAAAGTCTAGTAGTAAACCAGTGAAATCGGTGTACGATTTTGTTTACAATTTATTACAATACATATAAAATGTCTATGGCTTGTTTAAAAAAAACCAATAAACCTTATTAATAAATGGCTAATTGTAAATGAATGGGGCAAATGTAAATATGTACATTAAATTCAAATCTGATAAACCGGATTGTTTGATATTTCCAAAACTTGTTAACAAGTTAAGAGTTTGATTTTTACCAATATAATATATTGTCTTATATAAAATGACACTTATAATGTGATTTTTTTTTTAAACAAGATATTAGAATTTTTTCTTTTTTGTGGCGACGATCGGTACTTAGTAAAAAACATAATAAATAAATAACGGTTAAAATAAAATTGTTTCAAGTGTTCAAAACGTTAAACCACAGTAAAAAAGTCGTGCCGAAAACGATAAATAATAATAAGTAATAATAATAACTCTGGGCATTGTTTGGACCGAACGAATTGAATTGCGACCTTCTTTGTCTTTGTCTTTACACACTCGTGTACATCATCGTGTATATATATACATCTAAATGTATATGAATTATGTTTAGTGTTAGTAATTTTTTTATATTTTTTATTCAACTGCTAAGCCCCACAGACCGCTACGATCATCAATCGTTCGGCTCTCCGTTGGCGAATTAACGACCGCTTAATGGAACACTTCCTGCGTCCTCCTCCGGACCGGATGAGTTCATCACGTTTTTTTTTTTAAGCCAAGCCAAGGGACAGCCTAGATAACAACTAGTATTATTATTGAATCTTCTTTCAATTCGTATCGTACCGTATATAATATTATGAATGTACATAGATTTATCGTTGGGCTGTCGAACCCGTTTTACAAAAGTCCAAAAAAGGTCTAACGCATTTAGGTCAACCCGTTGTGTGTCTTTCTTTCAACTGAGGGAAATTATTGAAGAAAAATTCGTTCCAGCAATAAAAAAAGGCCCAAATAATTTTCCTATAACGGCTTTATATATAAAAAAAAAAAGAAATTTGTCGGTCAAACCCTTCCACCCTTTGTGATGATGTCGAGAATGTCCGCTTCGTGACTGTGTGAAAGGTTTTTTTTTTTTTTTGGGTGGAAATTGTCGGTCAAACAGCAGAAGAATTTCCTAAACGTTTATTTTTGTGAGAGGTTATACGTCATACTGTCGTGTGTGTGTGTTTGTTTGACCGCAGAGAGGTGTGTCTCGGAATGTGTTGCTTGTGCTGAACAAACAAAAAGGCCTTTCACGCTGACCCATCGCAGACGTATTCCAAACGATATGCTAATTCGAAAATAAATACACGTATAATATTATGTACTTTAATAGCTGCGCAAACAACAAAAAAAACGATGACCGACGGCAACTAATGTTTGTTTTAAAAAATATATAATAATAATAATGTGCTTTGTTTTGTTTTTCAGGATCCACCGGGATCGTTTCGTGTTCGCCTAACCCTTGCCTTCACGGAGGCTCTTGCTACATGAAGAGAACCGGAGAATTCGCTTGCAAGTGAGTGGACTTTTACACACTGTTGTGTCTTAATCACAACATTAGCATTGTTAAGCAACCCAAAAATCTATTTTTTTTTTTTTAAATGTTTTGCCAATTTTCCGCCTCCGGGATAGGTCGGTTTTCTTTGGTAGACGTCGACGTTTCACGGTCATCAATTATTACAACAATCGTAATGTTGTGTCTTAAAAACAAAAAATGGTCAACGACCAGCCAGGATTGACTCAATCATTCGTTCGTTTGTAGCAATTATTATATATTACATGTATAAAAAAACATATAATAAATAATACAAATCAATTAGATGTTAATTAAGACTAAAAAATGACAAGAGTCAAATGACATTTATGTAATATACAACTTATCTCGAGTAAATTTAAGTCATTAAAGTAAGATTATTAAATTAATCGTAACTTATTAATTTTAACAAGAGTTGGACTAGGTATTGGCGTTATAGAAACAACCAGAAAACAACCGACACATTGAGACAATTACACCGCATCGTTAATAACTCATCCAATTAATCTAGAAATTAAACTTGTCCTATTTTTCATCTGGAATTAATTAAAACGAATACATCTGGATATACATATATATATATATTATTATTAATAATCCCCTTAATCCATAACTCTGCTTGTTATTTTTGTTTTCAATAATTAAACGCGCGGTGTATTTATTAGTTATTCACTTATAAAAGAACTCGATTTTTGTGTTTATATTTAATGTAACAGTTTATTTAATAAAAAAAATAAGTTCAACAAAAGTTTAAACTGTAACTATTATATAAGTCTACAGTTAAGGGGCATCCAGTTGACTGCGTTTAATGGTAGATATAATAGCACTGTGATTTAAGACACCGCCTTTTAACATTGCATATGTGTTGTGACGGAATTATACTATTATAATATAATCTATATTATATTTTTTTTTTATCCACATCTAGGTCGTATTATAATTCTGTACCAGTGTAAAATAACATAGGCTCGCTCTATGACCGTGTTTCTTAATGAGTAATCCGAGATTCTTTATTTGTTTTTTGTAACTAGATCCGACGATAACTATATTATTATTTGTATTATTATAATAATCATTTTTTTTTTAGTACCATTATGCTATCGTGTACTCGCTGTTGCCCCTCTCGCGGAAACTGAAAAAAAAACCAGTTAATTATTGAAAACTCCAGTATAATGATTTTCTATTGTGGGCGTACGATTGCCAACGTCAATTTAATCTCTGTCCTCGTGTGTTGGATTAAATTACATTAATATAGATCCGTCTAGCAGAGCCAAACGACGGTTGATATACTGTAGAAACACGAACTTCCTGTTGGCCAAATAGAAAATTTAGAACAATATTATATTTAGAAAGATCACGTGTAATTATTGTGCCCGTGCGATTAACCTTTGGCGAAAAACGAAAAATCATTTTTCGATATTTCTACAACGTTGGGTTTGGGTTTAATTTTTTTTTTTACAGTTTCAAATAACTTAATAGACGATTTGGCTTTTTGTTAATAACAAACTCCGGCAAACGGTATTTCGATTGTCTTATGCTCACCGTGTGCAATTCGTGTGCATCGTTTTCTATAGAGAGTACAATCGTGAGGTATATTATGTTTTATACTTCAGCTATGACTTTCACGGCGGCCAAAGTCTATTATATCTATTAAAAAAAAAAAAAAAAAATCAAACCTAAGCGATTATAATATTATTATTGGAAGAAATCGTTTGGCCTTTTTTTTTTTTTAGATTATAATATAACAACAATATAATTATGTTATCCGTTTACGAAACGGTTGAAATTGTGTAGATTGGCGCACACCACGATTTAGCGTGGGACTGATACTTATAGTAATATATATTTTTAATAACTCAATAAAATTGTTATTCGACCAGACGGTAGTGTCGGCAGTCCATCACGAATACACGTGGGAGCCAGCCGTTCATGAAATTATTCGGAGTTTGTAAAAATTAATGGATTTTTTTTACTACCTAACCGCAAGGAGAAGAACGTTTCAATTCTGTTTTCAACGTTGTGCCACCCTCTTGTCCATAACTAAAATAAAAAAATGTCAGGCTTATCCAATCATCTGTTACACGATAACAACTGTTTTGACTATGATCCTAAAAGATAATTCTCATAATATATTCATGGGTATTTTTTTTTTGAAATATTTTATCTGGCTTTGTTTACTTTTCTCTCTCTCTCTCGCTCTCGAATACACGTCTATACTCTTTACTATTATCATCATCGTGGCGATGAACGATTGTATGTGTTTGGCCGGTACTAGGTATAAGTGCTTGTGTACACAAGACACATTGTATACCGTTTTGTACACCGAACTGTGGACCGTGTCCAAAAACCCTAACCGGCGATCGTCGGTAAATCATCGGTCTCGGGCGTGGGCGAGCGGCTCAACCTTGAATTTTTGTTCGTAAAACGTGATCGGTTTATCATGTCTTACGGACCGATGATGATGATGATGATGAGACGACTGACCAAAGATAATAGAAATTTGTCACGGGCGCCGCCGTCTAATGTACACACAAGTTCTTGTTTACACAAAAGGATCAATTTTTATTTTCTTAATCGATTATCCATATCTCGTTCGTCATAAAACACATACCACGCGAGCACAGCCTCTGCCACTTTCTTGGGCATCCCTTATTCTGCGTGGGAAGCGACTGTGATATTGGTAATAATTATACAATTTTTTTTTTTTGAAAACCAAAACCACGGTCCGCTACCAAAGCGCGCGGGCTCCTCTAAGAAAGATACTATCCGGTGACTTTTGGTGGGAAAAATCCTATCAAAACCCGAGTGAGGTCGACCGACGGACAAGACACTGTAAACCTGAGTGAGTGTCTTCTCGTGTGATTGGCATTCTTTCGTGCGGGAGATGAAAATTACATTATGCACGGTGCATTGTCCGAGCTAATAGGTTACACTAACAAAAAAAAAAAAAATAATAATAATAATAAAAAATAAAGAATGGAAAAAATATGAAGTATTTTTTTTTTTTTTTACTGACTAATAACAAGGCATCGACAACACGATTTACATACGTTAGTGTGTGTGTGTGTGTGTGTGCGAGTCAAATTGGTAATGACAAAAAACCTCATATGCATAATATACGCGCCGGACCATGATAAATTTTATTAAAGAAGATTCTCTCACAACGAACGCAGTAATATAATAATAATAATAACAATAATGATAATAAATAATAATAATAGTAATTGTAATAAAAGTAATTCTTAGAAGCTTCGTCGCGTTATTTGTATGTATATATGTATAATATTTATTATATTCTCCGACCCGTCGACGTGACGTCGGTGTTTTATTGTCCTCGAAATCAATCTGCCGTAATCCTTCTTGCCTACAAGCCATAAGTAAGTACTTATTCATAATATATGTACATAGTGGCGTCTTGTCCCATAAGTCTTCCACACACACTAGAAAACGGTCATAGCCTTTTGTTGGCTCGTTAACGAGTGTCATTCAAAAAACCATGAACGGACCCCGTCGTCGACAAGACGTGTGCGTTGTGAAAAAAAAACTTTGTTTAGCTTCAATTATTATCCAAGAACATGATAAAAACTGCAACGGCAGTATCCAGAGTCATATGGTAATAAATCGCCAAACGAATGAGTACACATTAGCCGTTAATATTTTTGTAGTCCACATAGGACCATTTTATACTAACTAAAAAGCTGTTAATTATAGAGTAATAATAGTTGAAAAATATTAAACAAAATTTGTATTTTATCATGTTTTTGGAATACAAAATTAACAGTAATGCTTTAATATAACCGATTTTTTCTTTAATATTGTATAAATTAAAAAAAATAAACGTCAAAACAATTAATATTATACCTATAAAACATTGACTAGTTTAGTTGACTTATCCAAAATAGTTGTACAATTATTTAACTTTACTCGAGTTCTCTCATATAAATTATTAAATTATTAAATTTGTAATTTCTTTTTTGTTTAGTCAGTTAACTTAAGTATACGTCTTGTGAACTGTTTATTTTTATTTTTACGGCATATTCCTTTTAACGTTTGAATTTTTATACATATACTCTTTAAGTCCCGAAATAATAATGAAGCGTGATAGTAAAAATCAAAGGCTCGTCGGACCTATTCAAATGCACACTTGTGTATTTATTAACTACAGTCTACAATATTCGTTTTTTAAGACAAACTCCTCATCGAGTATCATCGTTGCTGTTCCAAATTTCAAAACGTTCACGAGGAAAATCAGTGGAATTGATTTGTAACAAATTAATTTGCTAATTTATCCCGTGAACGAAATTTCAATATAGATTGTACAATTTAATCGGGGGAACCCTAAGCATCTAAACTTTAACCATCTATTAGAGTGAAACGGCAACAGTTTCAGCGGCGTTTTTTTTTTGTTTTCTTTATTTTTTCTTTCATTTTTAATTCTTTTATAATTTTTTTGCTTCGGGGCTCTTGTCCCGAAGAGAAAGGGCACGGTCGGCGCGAGCGGTTCCCACGGAGAGCAGTCGGCCATAGTGCCTGGTCAGGTGAACAGCAGCACCACCGGCAGCAGCAGCAGCAGCAGCAGCTATATACCTATGCTTTACATATTATATGCTCGTGCTAGGTACACGTCCTTCCGGGGGCTCTTCAGAAATTACTCCAATACCATTATACACGTCTTGTACATGCACACACGCACACACATTATATATCCTGACAGCGTGCCGCCATTTGCCGCGTTATAATAATACACTATAGTATTATTATTATTATTATTATTATTTAGGTACGTCCGAGCAACGATGATAATTAAAAAAAAAAAAATCTAAACCGACAATTTGGCCAACGAGAGCTGAGACGGAGTGTATTAATTGAAATAATTATTTTAACCCCCATGAGTAATTTTAACTATAAAAACGACTTACTTAGCCAAATTCTACGGTGACGTCAACAATGTGTATTCTATATTATAATACAAAAGAGTTTGG